TGCACCGGTGGCACCCTTGCAGCCCGGAGCCCCTGCGAGGCGCGGCGCTGCAACCCGCTATGCATCGACGCTGTCGTTCCGGGCGCAGCCGGGAGAACAATATCAAATCGAAATGGTTATTAAGTTCCTATCGCGAGCGTCCGCTCCTCTTCACTTGACGATATTATTGCCGTGCGGACGGCGAGATGAAATTATGTCGCGAATTTCATCTCTTCTCCCCGATCTCCGCCTTTTTTCCCCCGCCGCGCCTCCTAGTTATTGTTGTTTTCCGAAGCAGACAATTCCTTGAAAAACTGTCGGGAGGTGATGACATGGCGAGNNGGGGGGGGGGGGGGGGGGGGTCGGAGATGCTTCGCGACGCGCGGTGGATGCCCCTTGCCGATTGGCGGAGGTTCGTCATCAGGAGGTCGATCGTTGAATCGCTATCGAACGACCTCGATCGATGAGCCCCTATCCTTGCGATGCCGTTTATCGATTGAATTCGTTCGATAGCGATTCGGAAATCCAGGCGCTGGAGAGGAAATTAAAAATTGCCCCTCTCGAAAGTTGATTGTTGCGAACGGGGATTAATGCAATTACGGCGGCGGCTCCCGACTCTTCGATTCGATCGCCTTCGCTGTGCCCGCCGCCCGCGCCTTCTTTCGCCCGCTTCTACTCTCATTTTCGCCTCTTCCGACCCCGTTGGCAGCTTCACCGCGGATCCTGGCTACTGTCGATTTCAGGTTGTGAAAATGCTCGCGCGCGTCCCAGGGCCTCGTGATTTGGCAACCCACCCGCACTGAAAAAAAAATCTCTTGTGTATTTACTAAGAAAAGGGTAAAATTACCACGAATTCAGGGTTCTATTTGATCCCAGTTTTTTCTTGGTAAAATTACCATTTATGAAATTGGTAAATTTACCGAGAAATCTCGGTAAAATTATTGAACTTTCTCGGTAATTTTACCGGACCTTGGTAAAAACGCCAATATTTTTTATCGACTATGGTAGAATTACCGAGATAAAATGACGAAGTTACCGGGATTTGATTACCAATAAAATTTGTATTCTTACCTGAAAAAAACAGTAAAAATACCGGTTTTTAGGTAAGCTTCCCAGTCTGTCTTGGTAAAATTACCAATAATTGGTAAAAAAAAGTGAGATGGTAAAGGTACCAACGGACATTGGTAAAAACGCCGAGAATTTTTCTTCAGTGCGACGCTGTGTTTTGCAGCAAGTCGGAGTTCGTCGGGAGATGAGACACCGTTCCCGTGATTCTTACAAACTTATGAAGAAGTGACAGTGTTGCCATTTTGGACCGTTCGTTGCGGCGTTGAAGAAAATTTAAAAAAGAAAAAATAACATAAATCACAGAGGTAAAATGGATCACGATGGATCAAGATATAATAATTCTTGGAGATAGGACTGATATTCTTGATTCAAAATAAAGTCCTCTGGACGGCACACTCAAGAATTTTTCCTGCCTAAATTGAGTCACTTTGTTCTCTGATGAAGTTCAAAAATTATTCTAAAAGTTTTGAAATACGGATGCCAGGACCTAATGAGTTTTTAGACTACCGCTCTCTTTTTGTGCTGTAGTATCTTGATTTATTTTGCGGGGCAAGCTCCGCACTCTTCCTCAAATTATGCCTGTCATTCTTAATACGTTGGAGCTTCTTCAATTTTGTATGATATTCTGCAACTTCTTTGTTGCGACATAGTTGCTTGAAGCGCCGTGGTACACTGAAGCGCGGCAGGCGGCCAGCGCTAAACGCGCATTGGCGCCTTCAAACCTAACAGGGATACTTCACACATTGCGCAATGCGTGAAGTATCCCTGTTAGGTTTGTAGGCGCCAGTGCGCATGTCACGTTGCCAACACCGCGGCGCTCCGTTCTTTGTCAGGCTCTAATATTTAAACTCTCGGAGTCAGCGTTTTTCAACTCATGATTCTGAAATAGATGCACATTCTGCATGGATTATTCTCATTTAAATTGATGAAAGAAAATATGTATTAAGGGAAAATAAAACGTTTGTTTTGTAAATATTATGGTGGCACCGAGACACATCTAATGATTTCCAAAGCACTTTAATTTTTTCTCTTACACTTCGTGCTTTTACTGTGCTGCAGCGTCATGTATGCGCATCCAAACGTTTAAAATTGGACGTATTTGACTCTAAAAGATCGATGTACAAATAGATGAAAACCAAAACTTGCGTGCTTCTTGGCTTGTTTTTCGTTATTACATTCATTTTTGTGTCGTTCCTTTCAACACAACTACGGCTTATTGAAATTAATATCGATTCCATCGCTTGGTAAAGGTCTTACAAATATTCACCACGATCACTGGTCAACCCGATGCTGTATTTTGCAGCAAGCCGGGGTTTGTCGGAAGATGAGACATCGATCCCGTGATTCTTACCAACTTATGAAGAAATGACAATGTTGCCATGTCTGACCGTTAGTCAAGGAGTTGAAGAAAGTTCATGTACAAAAAAAAATCTCAGAAGTACAATGGATCACACTATCGCTGGTTGGTCAACGAATCGCGTTTTGATGGATCAAAGCTTACCGATTTAATAAAATAACATCTGCAAGAATGCCCTGTTCCTACGTCCATTATTTACAAAGCTGCAGCCATTCGAGAACACGGCGTATGACGTCATTTACCGCGATAATCAGTGTTTGAAACTCACATTTGAGTTTCAGGAGCCATGTGGCCCATTGAGCTCGATTGTTAGGGGCCAATTCGACTTTTTTCTTATATATCACGGCGCATTTAGTGGACAGTTAGAATCCGGTGTCGTGCGTCGAAATTTCAAAAAAATCACAAAACAGCAAAATAAGGATTTTCTGAAA